GGTTTGGGAGGTGCTGGGGCTGGGGCGGGAGGGTGACAGAAGAGTTCAAGGCAGGCAGGGCGCTGGTGGCTCACACCTGTCATCCTAGCTATGCAAGACGTTGAGATCTGAGGGTCACAGTTCAAAGCCAGCCTGGGCAGGAAAGTCTGTGAGACTCTTTTATCTCAGTGAACCATCAAAAAAAGCCAGAAGTGGAGCCGTGGCTCAAAGTGGTAGAGCTCTAGCCTTGAGGACAGCACCCAGAGGCTGAGTTCAAGCCCGGGACTGGTACCAAAACGACAACAAGCAAAGGGAAAGGGACAGACTTGAAAGCCAGACCCTGGGTTCAAATCCCAACTTCCTCTTCTTTCTGGCTGTGCGGACTCAGGCAAGATGTTTCGATCTCTGTGCCTCAGCTTTTCTATCTCTAAAATGGGCTGGTAGATGCCACCTCACTGTACTGAGGTGGTACATGATGCGGTTTATAAAGCTCTGGGGGTGAAGCTTTCTGGCCCATGGGGGGGGGTCTGGGGAGCCTGTCTCTGGGGATTGCACCTCTCACTGCTGCAGTGAAGGGATAGTGATCACTGGGGAAGCTAAGGCTGGACAGGGGACCCCATGAGACAGATGGACTGACGGATGCTGTTGGAGGCTAGTTAATATCCATTGGTCATTTTCTGCATACTGGCGCTATTCTATGTACCTGCCAGTCTTCTAGGCCACTTGATTGGTTCCACTTGACAGGTGGAGAAACTGAGGCCCCAGAGGGAAGGTCCTCATAGCTGGGAGGGGTGGGAGCGGGGACAGAGTGAGGCTGTCCAGCCAGTGCCTTAGCACCTCCCCTGCTGGCCCCTCATGGCTTCAGCCAATGTCCAGGGGCCTGCAGGAGTCAGGCGGCCTCTGATGACATCTGAGCTTGATGGTGGTCTCTGGGGGAAGAGTGGGCCAGAAGGGTCTCTGGCTCCACAGAGGGGTCCTAGCCCAGGTGACAAGGCGCCCCCCCACCTTCCCGGCCACAATGAAGATGTTGAGCAGCCCCGAAGGGCGCCTCCAAATTGTGGGCCCCAGTGTTAAGTAAGGGCTCCAGACAGACGGGCACCAGTGGCTCAGGCCTGTCATCCTAGCAACACAGGAGGCTGAGATCTGAGGATCATGTTTCAAGGCCAGCCTGGACAGGAAAGTCGATGAGACTCTTATTTCCAATTAGCCAGCAAAAATAAAAGCCAGCAGTGGATCACACCCAGGTCCTGAGTTCAAGCCCTAGGACTGGCACAACAACAACAAAAACAACCAGATCAAAACAATGGTTGGCATCTAGAAGGTTCTGCCCAGTTTCATTCACCTGGGCAACCCTGTGAGATTTTCCAGCCAACCTCAGTTGGGACCCCTGGAAGGGGTGTATGTGGCTCTCTTCTCCCCCTGCCTGGTGGGATAGGCAGGGGCTGGGAACAAGGAGTACCTGGGGTGGAGTGGGTTTCCTTCCGGAAGCTTCCCTCACCCCACCCCAGGACCTGCCACTCAGGAAGGGCACAGTTAGGCTAAATATAACCTGGGCTGGGCAGCTGTCCCAGGCAGGGATGAGGAAGGAGGGTGCTCTCTTGCCCCTGGTGCCAGGCTCTGGGTATGACTCTCTTTGTCTAGGCTTGGAACTGAGAGCCTGAGGCCCATGGGAGGGGTTCCCCACCTCTCCCACACTTGACGTCTACAAGTGCTTCTAAGCCCTATGCCCCCCATCTCTCCCCACCCCAAGGTAAAGTGCCATCTGTTCCATGGTTGCTGGTAGCTCTTCCCCGCTGGGGTCAATCTTTGTCTCTCACTTGTTTTATTTTTGTCAGGTGCTGGGGCTTGAACTCAGGGCCTGGGCACTGTGCCTGAGTTTTGGTGCGCAAGGCTATAGCACTCTATGACTTGAGCCACAGCTCCACTTCTGGCTTTTTGGTGGTTCATTGGAGATCAGAGTCTCATGGACTTTCCTGCCCGAGCTGGCTTTCAATCATGATCCTCAGATCTCAGCCTCCTGAGTAGCTAGGATGACAGGCGTGAGCCACTGGCTCCAAGTTCTTATTTCTCAACTTTTGAGAGGTACCACCGGGCAGGGTGAGCCAAGGCCTGGCACAGGAACACATTCATGGCACCCTCGACCCCTCCCTGCTCATGTCTCTCCCAGGGCTCCACACCCTCCGTGCAAGTTGCCTAGAGCAGGCACAAGGGCCCTGGGTGCTAACTCTGCCTGGCTGTGTGATTCTGGACAGCTCAGTTTCCCCTCTCGGAGCCTCAGTTTCCCCTCTTTACCAGTGTGATTTTGAGGCCTGTGGGATCTAATCCAGCACCGAAACCAGAGCGTGCCTGCCCTCCCCCAACAAAGGAGCCAGCCTGGGAGCTAGGGGCTCACAGCGGGGGCTGGGACCCCTGGGAGATCCAGGGAGGTGCCCTCTGACACTGTGGGGGCCGACTGTGAGGTGGAGGCAGCCGGGTGCTGAGGGGGTCTTGGTTCTGAGTCCTGGCTGGTGGTGGGCTATGAAGGGCCATTGTGTCTGCGGGTGGGTGGGTAGCAGTGGAATGCGGGCTGGCCAGCAGACGGGCCATTGTGTGAGAGAATGTGCTGCGTGAGGTCTGACCTTTCTCTGCCAAGTAGGGGTTGGCGGGTTGGCATGCCAGGTGGGGGGCCAAGCTTGGAGTTGGAGGTGGGGGGGAGCAATCTCTATGTCCATTCCTCCAGAATGGGGCCAGCCAAGAGGCTGTGAACCCCTAGCTCCGTGCACTGAGCCATGTTCTCTGAGCAGACAAGATGTTTGGGGTGAGAAAGTAAAGTTCAAGCCGGGCACCAGTGGCTCACACTTGTCTAGCTACTCAAGAGGATGAGATCTGAGGACTGTGGTTCAGAGACAGCCAAGGAAAGTCCATGAGGCTCTGATTGCTAATGAGCCAGCCAAAAGCCACAAATGGAGCTCTCCAGTGGTAGACTATCAGGTACTTAGGAGGCTGAGAGCTGGAGAATCACAGTTTGAAGCCAGTCAGGGCAGAAAAGTCTGTGAGACTCCAACTCTAATTCATCAGCAAAAAGCTGGGTTGGAGGCATGGCTCTGGTAGGTAGAACACCAGCCAAGCAAGCAATATGAGGGTGAAACCCTGAGTTCAATTCCTGGTATAAGGGGAAAAATAATTATCAACTTCACAATGGTCTGTGGGGCACTTAACTTCAGCCAAGAACAAGGATGTTCTTTTCTTTTTTGTTAGTCATGGGGCTTGAACTCGGCGTCTGGGCATTGTCCCTGAACTCTCGCTCAAGGCTAGTGCTCTACCACTTTGAGCCACAGCACCACTTCTGGCTTTCTGGTGGCTAACTGGAGACAAAGAGTGTCACAGACTTTCCAGGCTGGCTTTGAACCGCGATCCTCAGATCTCAGCCTCCTGAGTAGCTAGGATGACATGTGAGCCACCGGCGCCTGGCACCACTTTATACCTATTAACTCACCGCACCCTCAGAACAGCCTTGCCAGGGGCTGCCCTTCTCCTCCTACCTTATTAGCCAAGGAAGGGGAGGGGGTTTTGTCCACTGGGGAAGGGAGGGAGGGAGGGACTAGAACTATTTTACAGGAAATTCTCCCTCTTTCTCTATGCCCTGAAGTGGCTGGTACAAGGGCTCAGCTGCCAGACAGATCTAGGAGACAGTAAAGGTTTCACCCTCTGTGGCCCATCTGGGCCATTTGGGGCTAAGGTTCTTTGAACCTCAGTTTCCCCACCTGCACGCTGTAGACGAGGCGCTGGCAGAGCCTGCTCTGGGAGGGCCAGACCCTGAGGAAGTGAGTGGTGATTGATAATAGTATGCAACTGATTCTTCTAGAGTCCCGGACCCAGGAGGCCCAAGGTGCTGGAGGTGACCCTCAGGTGAGCTCTGGCTGATGCCACATGTCCCTTCCTGCCTCCCTCCCTGGCTTGGGTGGAGCCTCAAGTCCCGTTCTCTCCCTGGCAGGCAGCAAGACCCCAACGGAAGGGTTTGAGCCCTGCAAACAGCTGTCCTGCACCTCCGGCTGGGCTCCTGTTAGGAGAGAGTACCTGTACCCAGGCGGCGGTGAGGGGACACCACGGGTGGGGCTCTTCCCACCCTCTTTTTTTCCCCCTCCAAATTTTTGGTGGTAATGAGGATTTGAATTCAAGGCCTCCAGGAATTAGGCATGTGTTCTACTGCTTGAGCCACGCCCCCAGCTGGGTTGGTTTTTTTTGGTGTTTGTTTTTTTTCTCTTTTTGGTTTCATAGGGCCTGAACTCTGGGCTTGGGCACTGTCCCTCAGCTCTTCAGCTCAAGGCTAGCCACCCTACTACTTGAGCCACAGCGCCATTTCTGGCTTTTTCTGCTTATGTGGTGTTGAGGAATCAAACCCAGGGTCTCATGCATGCAAGGCAAGCACTCTACCACTAAGCCACCTTCCCAGCCCTGGGTTGTTTTTTTTGTTTTTTTTTCCATATAGGATCTCAAGCTTTTGCCTGGGCTGGACTGGGATCAAGATTCTCCTACTGCTAGGTGCTGGTGGCTCACGCCTGTAATCCTAGCTACTCAGGAGGCTGAGATCTGAGGATCTCGGTTCAAAGCCAGCCCGGGCAGGAAAGTCTGTGAGACTCTTATCTCCAATTAACCTCCAGAAAACCAGAAGCGGTGCTGTGTGGCTCAAATTGGTAGAGCACTAGCCTTGAGCAAAAGAGTTCGGGGACAGCGCTCAGGCCCAGAATTCAAGTCCCACAACCACCAAAAAACAACAACAACAACAGAAAAAGATTCTCCACCTCCACCTCCCAACTAGCTGGGATTAGAGAAGTGCCCTACCGCACTCGGCCATGCCCTTCTGACACCTGCCCAGACCTCCCTAGTAAACCTAACACCCACCTTCATTCCTTCCTGGTCTTGAACCTCTATACGTGCCCTGGCAGGCTCAGCGGCAGCTGCTCCATGCAGAACTGAAGTTGGTCCTGCAGCAGAAGGAGGAGAGGAAGCAAGAGCTTGGGGCTGGGGAGACTTCCAGCAGCGCCATGGAGGTCAGGAGCCGGAGTGCAGAGGTGAGTGGCCACTGGCCTTTCAAGGGGCACAGAACAGGGCAGCCACAAGACACTTCCATGTTTCTTTGTGCCTCAGTCTCTCCATCTGCAATATGGCAAGAGATTTAACTGTGAGAGCCAAAAAAAAAAATAGCATATATAAAATGCTTAGTTCAGTGCCTGATCCAGACTTCAACACACAACAGCTAACTCATTGGATCATTGAGGACTTAAATTAATAATGAGCTACAGAAACTCAGTAAAACCAGGCACTGGTGGCTCACGTCTGTAATCCTAGCTACTCAGGAGGCTGAGATCTGGGGATTGAGGTTTTAAGCCAGCCAGGGCAGAAAAGTCTGTGAGGCTCTTGTCTCCAGCGAACCAGCAAAAAGCCAGAAGTGAAGCTGTGGCTCAAGTGGTAGGGTGCCAGGCTTGAGCAGAAAAACCCAAGTGAGAGCTCAAGGCCCTGAGTTCAAGCCTCAGTACCAGCATGAGCCATGCCTGCTACCTCACCTACTCAGGAGGTAGAAAGAGGACGATTGCAAGTTTAAGGCAGCTCCAGCAAAGCTATACAGACCCTGTCCACACGGGGACAAAATTAAAGCAAGAGGAGTGAACATTCCTGAGGCTGTGGGTTTAATTCCTAGTACCGAGCAAGTATGCAGGGAAAAAAAGAGGAGACAGGAAAACAAAACAAAACAGGTAGAAATCCTTCCTCAGAACAAGAATGAACGAGCAGTACCTACTTTGGGTGATATCACCTCTTTGTTTTTTTTTTTTGGTCGGTCGTGGGGCTTGAACTCTGGGCTTGGGCGCTGTCCCTCAGCTCTTCAGCTCAAGGCAAGTGCGCTACTGCTTGAGCCACAGCACCACTTCCAGTTTTCGAGTGTTTTATTGGAGATAAGAGTCTCACAGATTTTCCTGCCTGGGCTGGCTTTGAACCGCAATCCTCAGATCTCAGTCCCCTGAGTAGCTAGGACTACAGGCGTGAGCCACCGGTGCCTGGCCCTGACATCACCTCTTAAAATCTCAGTTTCCCCATTGATAAAATGAGGCATCTCTGGCCATTTGCACAGTCTGGTGCTACAGCATCCTCAAATAGTGGTGACTGTGGCTGTGATGAAGATACAACATTTTCATTTGTCCTACTATGTGCCACACGGAGTAGGTCTACTTTTACAGGCTCTTCACTAACGATGGGGTGCTAACAAGGGGGTCACTAATGTCTATAGGATGACCTATGGTTTCTGGGTTCAGAGATGAACGGACAAGGCCTGGCTCTTTAATTTGCTGAGTGGTATTAGGCAAGTTACTTCACATCTCTGAGACTTAAGTGTTCCTCAGGTGTGATTGCCCAACTTTGTAGAGAGGATGAAATGAGATCTTAGGTAAAATGCTTAGCCCGGGGCCTTTGAAGCCAAAAAGGAAGTGGAGATGGCCTTATTAGACCCTATTCTCTTAGAGACCCTAGCATGAGAGTCTGGCCCAGCCCTGCTCTGTTCCTCTCCAGTCCTGTCTGGTCTCAAAGCCCTGCCCTGCTCTCTGCTTCTTGAGGTCACAGTTCACAACCAGACATTCCTGCACCTTTCCCGATGCTACCTTTTACAGCAGAGAGATGGGCCAGAGACAGCAAGGGATTGGATTCCTAGGCAGAACTCAGGTGTCTCACTTCCTCTTTGGGGAGGCTTCTAGGTGCACCCCATTTTGTGCACTCCAAAGTCAGAGTGAGCCTGCACCATTTACAGTAAATATCAAGAATGCCACCATTCATTACCCACACCGTGCCCCTCCCCCCTTCACTGGATTCCCTCTCCTGTGGGCGTTATGCAAGAACACGGGGTTATACAGTCCACAATAGAGCTCAGTGTCACATCATGTGTGAGCCCACAGCGGGGGCAAGGCCCCCACTCCTCCATCCTGCATGGTTTAAGAGCCCAGCCCTGTCCTAAGAGTCCCATCCTTAATCCCATTGAGGGTGAGACTACTGCTCATACCTGTATTCCTGGCTACTTTAGGAGACTGGGATCTGAGGATCACGGTTCAAGGCCTGCCCAGGCAGAAAAGCCTGGGAGACTCTTATTATCAGTTAAGCAACTAGTCAGAAGTAGAGCTGTAGCTCATTGGTAGAGCACCAGCCTTAATCAGACAAAACCAAGTAAGAGCGCCAGAGGCTAAGTTCAAGCCCTAAAACGGGCATTCACACACACAAAAGCCCCACAGCGCAAATCTACCCTTAGCATTAGATTCTTTCCCTGCCTCAAACCCAGCGTAAACTCCAGCCACACCTCTCTCTTTTCTCTGAGAGAACCTTGGGGAATCTTATTGGGCCTCTGGAGCCTGGGCGCTTAGTCCCGCCCTCCCCGATTGGGCCCGCCCTAGACATGGCCCCGCCCTCGAAGAGAAGCCCCGCCCCCATGTACAGTCCCCGCCCTCTCCAGCTGGCCCGGCTCCTATTGGTCCCTCCCCAGTTATGGCCCCGCCCCCAGAGCTTCCAGCGCACGTGGGACGGGCTGTTAAACCGTAAGACGGATCCTAGAGGGTGAACCTCCGGCGCTCACGTGCGTGAAGGGAAGACGTACCCCGAGCTCCCTCTACGAGCCGCTTTTAAGCGCGATGGCAACTTCTGGGCGAGGTTTAGCCCAGGCTCCCCATGGAGACCCCTTGCTGCCTTCCGCAGGAGCTGAGGCGTGCGGAGTTGGTGGAGATCATCGTGGAGACCGAGGCGCAGACCGGCGTCAGCGGCATCAATGTCGCGGGCGGCGGCAAAGAAGGGATCTTCATCAGAGAGCTGCGCGAGGACTCACCCGCCGCCCGGTCTCTAAGCTTGCAAGAAGGTGGGCGTGGTCACGAACTGGGCGTGGCCTCTCCGCGTGGGTGGAGGCCCGGCGAGAACTGACAGGGATGTTGTGGGCGTGGCCTGCGTGTAGGAGGCAGGATTAAGAGCCTGGGGCGGTGCTTTGCGTGTGGCTGCTGCTGATGGTTCTGAGCATGCTCTGAGGGCTCTCGTTATTGTTTTGGGATTGAAAATCCTTGGTTAAACCAGGTGCTGTTAGCTACTCAGGAGGCTAAGATTTGAGGATCACAATTTGAAGCCAGTCAATACCGAAAGTGCCCGTGAGACTCTTATCTCCAATCAATCACTCAAAGATCAGAAGTGGATCTGGGGCTCAAAACGGTAGAAAGTAAAAAAAGAGTTCAGGGACTAGGCCCAATTCATGAGTTCAAGCCCCACGACCCATAAAAACACAAACCTTGCGGGGCTGGGAACGTGGCTCAGGGGTAGAGTGCTTGCCTTGCATGCATGAGGCCCTGGGTTCGATTCCTCAGCACCACATACACAGAAAAAACTGGAAGTGGGTGCTATGGCTCAAGTGGTAGAGTGCTAGCCTTGAGCTGAAGAGCTCAGGACAGTGCCCAGGCCCAGAGTTCAAGCTCCATGACCAGCAAAAAAAAAAAAAAAGAAAAAGAAAAAGAAACCACACATACACACAAACCTTGGTTAACTAGTGCATGCTCTTTTTGCGCCTTAGTTTTCTCATCTTTAAAATAGGAACAATCAACCGGGCACCAGTGGCTCATGTCTGAAATCTAGCTACCTCAAGAAGATGAGATCTGAGGATCATGGTTCAAAACCAGCCTAGGCAGGAAAATCTGTGACCCTTATCTCCAGTTAACTACTTAAAAGCAGCGAGAAGTGAAGCTGTGGTCCACGTGATATAGCACCAACCTTGAGTTAAAAAGCTAGGGACAGTGTCCAGGTTCTGAGTTCAAGCCCCAGCACGGACACAGAAACAAAACAACAAGATAGGAACAAGCCGTACTGATCTCATGGGGTTATTATGTAGAACAAATGAGTCAGTATTTAAAACAAAACAAAACACCTTGCACAAGGTTAAGTGGCAAATAGTAAGCACTTTGTAAGTGCTAGTTAATAGTTGTGCTGTTAGGGCCAGAGAAAAAGGGTGGAGTTAACTTGGGAAGGGCGTGGAGATGCAACTTATTCATGCAACAATTATTAAGTGCATGCTTTCCTTCTGAGACATTACTTAAGTGCTTCCTAGTGGGCACAGACATATTTAAAGAAAATAAATAGTAAATTAGATGTGTGGTTGTGCCTGGAGCAAAGCTGCATTTTTACATCAGGTAGATGAGAAACATGGAAGGCTGAAGGAGATAGGGAACAAGCTCCCGAGGAATATACCTCAGCGGTAGAGCTGCTTGCTTAGCATATTCGAGGCTCTAAGCTTGATCATCCTTGAGCAGAAAAAGCTAAGGGACAGTATCCAGGCCCTGAGTTCAAGTCCCTCACCTCCCTACCCCCCAAAAAAAAGACTAAATATTTATTTATTTTGCCAGTCCTTGGCTTGAACTCAGGGCCTGGGCACTGTCCTTGAGCTCCTTTTACTCAAGGCTAACACTCTCGCACTTGAGCCACAGCACCACTTCCGTTTTTTTTCTGTTTCTGTGGTACTGAGGAATCGAACCTTAGGGCTTCATGTATGCTAGGCAAGCACTCTACCACTAAAACACATTCTCAGCCTAAGATTGGAGGCCTTTTATTCCTGGAGTCTGTGAGTGAAGGGGGAGGAGGAGGTTGATCTTGGTGAACTGGGGCATCAACAGTACACTAACTGTAGGGGCAGTGTTGGGAGCAGAGACAGGTTGCTTAGTGTTAAATGGTGTTGGAGATGGAAAAGAAGGATTTGAATTCTGGATCCATTTTCAAGCTGGAGCCTAGATATTTGGGAGTAGCTATGGGGTATGATGAAGAGAGAGGAGTCACAGATCCAGGGAGAATGGAGTTACCAGTTCTGCAAATGGGGTACCCTGCGGCTGGGGCTTGCTTGGGAAAAGACTAGAAATAGTAGCATGTTTGCAAGCTGATGGGGATTCTGTAGAAGAGGTGGGGAGAGGAGAGGAAAAACTGTCCCTGGGCAGGCAATGGAGGATTGGTGTGAGCTAGTCATTTCATCCCTAGGAACAGGAGAAAATCACCACTAAAGAAGATAAGTCTGGGAGAGAGCGAGGGAAGAGGTGACATTGTCCAAAAAGAAATTTACTCATTACCTGATTTATGGAACCCCTTTGCACATCATCATTATAATAATACTAAAACAACAACAATAATTAATAGAGAGCCAGGCACTGGTGGGTGGCTGTAATCCTAGCTACTCAGGAGGCTGAGATCTGAGGATCACAGTTGGAAGCCAGCCAGGACAGAAAAGTCTTGGTGTGACTCTTGTTTCCAATTAATCACTCAAAAACCAGAAGTGGCACTGTGGCTCAAAGTGGTAGAGTGCTAGCCTTGAGTAAAAGAGCTCAAGGGGCCGTGTCCAGGGCATTAGTTCAAGCCTCATGACTGGGTGTGTGTGCGTGGGGGTGGGGATAGGGGGGTGGGGGGGAAAGACAGGTCTGTTGGGGACCAGAGGCTATAATCCTAGCTACTCAGAAGGCTGAGACAGAGATCTGAGGATGGCAGTTCAAAGCCAGCCCGGCAGGAAAAGCTGTGAGACTATCTCCAAAGAACAACCAAAGAGCCAGAAATGGAGTTGTGGCTGAAATGGTCGTATTAACCTAGAACACAAAAACTCAGGGACAGCACCCAGGCCCTGAGTTCAAGTTCCAGGACTGGCACAAAAATGAAAGAAAAGGCATGGGAATGTAGAGAAGTCACCATCGGATTCGATTTTCTCAATAAAGAACAGTGTGTGAAATTGTAAGGCTGGAGGAGACGACCCTAGGTAGCACTGATTTGTTTGGGATCGGGGGCGGGGCCAAACCAATGGGGCGGAGCTCCTCGGGACCTCGCTGCACCGGGTGGGTGGGACCAAAGGACAGGACCTTAGACTTCAATTGGATGGGCGGGGCAGATGGGCGGGACCAGATGAGACCACGCCTCCGTCCTCCTCCTCCCCCCTCCCCCCCCTTACAGGGGACCAGCTGCTGAGCGCCCGCGTGTTCTTCGAGAACTTCAAGTACGAGGATGCGCTACGCTTGCTTCAATGTGCCGAGCCTTACAAGGTCTCCTTCTGCCTGAAGCGCACCGTGCCCACCGGGGACCTAGCGCTGCGGCCCGGGACCGTGGCTGGCTACGAGATCAAGGGCCCGCGGGCCAAGGTGGCCAAGCTGGTACGCGTGCTTAGCCCGGCCCCGGCCCCAGCGCAGGCCCCGGCCTGCCCCAGCGATCCGGTCTGTGCGCCGTGAGCCCCCTTCCCAGCCATCGTGGGCCAGCCTTGCCCCCTCTGTCTCATCACTAATCCAACGCTAATCCATCCTCTGTCCTTTGCTCTCTGCTCCCAAAAACTCCTCCCCTGGGAGGGGTCCCACCTATCCCAGACCATGCCCCGACCCCCCATCCCATCTTAGAGAATCATCCTTAGGATCAGATTCAAGCTCCCTAGGGGTACTGGAAAGCAAGAAGGCTGAGTTCCATGCATGAGTGATGCTCAGTTATCGCTGGACAAGTGTCTGTCCTTCCCTGAGCCTCAGTTTCCCTATCTCTGCAATAATGGTGTTGGGGAAATGCCTGGAGAAGGGCCTTAGAAGCCTTGGGTCCCAGTTTCCATGCTCCTGTAGGTTCCCTGTGAGATTCTAAAGGCAGCCTGTGCCTTCCTGGGGAGAAATGGCAGGCAGGAAGTGGGGGACAGTGTTTTGGAGACAAGAGACTACCCCCAACATATCCCCAGTCTGGTGCACTCAGTGACAGTTCGGGCTCTTTCTGTCCGCTCCCAGCCTCCCACTGTCCCACCGCCTCCCGCCTCTCTCCTCTCTCCCCAGAATATCCAGAGTCTGTCCCCTGTGAAGAAGAAGAAGATGTTGGTGGTGCCTGGGGCTCTGGGGGCCCCTGCAGACCTGGCCCCCGTTGACGTCGAGTTTTCCCTCCCCAAGTTCTCCCGTCTGCGCCGGGGCCTCAAAGCTGAGATCTCCAAGGGTCCTGTCTCAGCTGCCCCTGCCCGCCGGCGCCTCCAACTGCCTCGGCTGCGGGTTCGAGAAGTGGCTGGAGAGGCCCAGGCAGCCCGGATGGCTGCTGCTGCTCCTCCCCCCAGGAAGGCCAAAGTGGAGGCCGCTGAGGTAGCCACAGGAGCGAGGTTCACAGCCCCTCAGGTAGAGCTGGTTGGGCCTAGGCTGCCAGGGGCTGAAGTGGATGTCCCTCAGGTCTCAGCCCTTAAGGGGGCCCCCTCTGCGGAGGCAAGCAGTGGTTTTGCCCTCCTGCCAACCCTTGGGCTAGGAGCCCCAGCTGCACCTGCTGTGGAGGCCCCAACTGTAGGGATCCAGGTCCCCCAAGTGGAGCTGGCCACCTTGCCCTCGCTCCCCGCTCTGCCCACCCTTCCCTGCCTGGAGACCCGGGAAGGGGCCGTGACGCTGACAGTCCCCACCCTGGATGTAGAAGCGCCTTCGGTGGGGGTGGATCTGGCCTTGCCAGGCTCAGAGGTGGAGCCCCGGGCAGAAGTGCCTGATGTGGCTCTGAAGATGCCCCGCCTCAGTTTCCCCCGCTTTGGGGTTCGAGGGAAGGAAGCCCCTGAGACCAAGGCAGTCAAGGGCAGCCCTGAGACCAAAGTGAAGGGTCCCAGACTTCGAATGCCCACCTTTGGGCTTTCTCTCCTGGAGCCCCGGCCCTCTGCCCCCGAGGCTGTTACAGAGAGCAAGCTAAAGCTGCCCACCCTCAAGATGCCCTCGTTTGGCATTGGAGTGGCAGGGCCTGAGGTCAAGGCACCCAAAGGGCCAGAAGTGAAGCTGCCTAAGGTCCCTGAGGTCAAGCTCCCCAAAGTACCAGAGCCAACCCTTCCAGACATACGAGTCCCTGAGGTGAAACTCCCAAAGGTGCCAGAGATAGCCATGCCAGAGGTTCGACTCCCAGATGTGCAGCTCCCAGAGATGAAACTTTCTGAGATGAAGCTGCCCAAGGTGCCCGACATGGCGGTGCCTGATCTACAACTCCCGGAAGTCCAGCTCCCCAAAGTGCCAGAGATGAAGCTGCCCAAAGTGCCCGACATGGCGGTGCCTGACCTGCGACTCCCAGAAGTCCAGCTCCCCAAAGTACCAGAGATGAAGCTGCCCAAGGTGTCTGAGATGGCTGTGCCCGATGTCCGACTTCCAGAAGTCCAGCTCCCCAAAGTGTCCGAGCTAAAGCTTCCTGAGATGAAGCTGCCCAAAGTCCCCGAAATGGCTGTGCCCGACCTGCACCTTCCGGAGGTACAGCTCCCCAAAGTGCCCGAGATGAAAATCCCATCCATGAAACTCCCCGAGGTGAAGCTCCCCGAGATCAAACTGCCCAAAGTCCCTGAGATGGCCGTCCCCGACCTGCACCTTCCGGAGGTGCAGCTCCCCAAAGTGCCCGAGGTGAAGCTGCCCAAAATGCCCGAGATCCCCGTACCTGACCTGCACCTCCCAGAAGTACAGCTCCCCAAAGTGTCAGAGATGCAACTTCCAGAACTGCAAGTGCCGAGCGTCCCAGAGGTGTGCCTCCCTCAGGCCCCGGAGTTGAAGGTGTGCAAGGTGCCAGATGTGCAGCTCAAGGTGCCAGATGTGCAGCTCCAAGCTGCTGCAGCCGAGCAGGCGGAGAAGATGGAATTTGGCTTCAGGATGCCAAAGATGACCATGCCCAAGTTAGGCAGGGTGGGGTCTCCGGCACAAGGCAAGGTGGGTCCTGAAGACTCGGGGAAGCTGGTCACCCTTCCCTGTTTGCAGCCGGAAGTGGGAGCTGAGGCTAGAGGGGGCGTCCCCTCCCTCACTCTGCCTTCCGTAGAGCTGGATCTGCCAGGGGCCCTTGGCCTGGAGACACAGAGCCAAGCAGTTGAAGCAGCTAAGATGGACCGGCCAGAGGGTCCTGGAGTGGCAGCAGGTGTTGGCGAAATGGGCTTCCGGGTGCCATCTGTTGAGATCGTGACTCCACAGCTCCCCACTCTGGAAGTTGCAGAAGAGCAACTGGAGATGATGGAGATAAAGGCCAAGCCCTCCTCCTCCAAGTTCTCCCTGCCTAAGTTTGGACTCTCAGGATCAAAGGCGGCCAAGGCAGAGGCTGAGGGGGCTGCACGAGCCAAGCTGAAAGTGTCCAAGTTTGCCATTTCACTCCCCAAAGCTCGAGTGGGGACTGAAGCTGAAGCCAAAGGGGCCGGGGAGGCAGGCCTGCTGCCCGCGCTCGATCTGTCCATCCCACAGCTCAGCCTCGATGCCCATCTGCCCTCAGCCAAGGTGGAGGCCACAGGGGCCGATGTCAAGCTCAAGGGGCCTCGATTTGCACTGCCCAAGTTTGGAGTCAAAAGCCGGGACACTGAGGCGGGAGAAGTAGCGGCAGGGGTGGTTGAGTTAGAAGGCAAGGGCTGGGGTCGGGATGGGAAAGTAAAGATGCCCAAGTTCAAGATGCCATCTTTCGGGCTGGCCCGAGGGAAAGAAGCAGAAGTCCAGAGTGGACGGGTCAGCCCAGGGGACAAGCCAGATTCCACAGTTGGAGCACTTAAGATCCCCGATGTAGAGTTGGTGACAATGGTGCCCCAGGAGGAAGGTGGGGCCCAGGGGGCCGTGGCTGGGAGTGCGGCACAGCAGGTGTCCGCAGCCAAGAAGGCCCACACTGAGGGCCATGATGGGGTCCTCAGGATGCCCCCACTGACCATCTCTGTGCCCCAGGTGGAGCTAGCCAGCTTTGGGGAGATGGGGAGCCCGGGGCAGCAGGCTAAGCCTGGAAGCCAGGTGGCAGGGGGTGAGCTCTTAGTGGGCGAGGGGGTCTTTAAGATGCCCACAGTGAGCGTGCCCCAGGTTGAGCTGGATGTAGGGCGGGGCCACGAGGCCCAGGCAGGCCAGGGAGCCACAGGTGAAGGTGGGATGCGGCTGAAGTTGTCCACCCTGGAGGCAGATGCCAGGGGAGAGGGTGGCGAGGAACAGCCCCCAGGGGCAGAGCGGACCTTCCACCTCTCACTGCCTGAGGTAGAGCTCTCCCCACCGGCCGTGGGCAGCCACGCCGAGTACCAGGTGGCCGAAGGTGGAGGGGATGTGGGACATAAGCTTAAGATGCGGCTGCCGCGGTTTGGCCTTGCGCGGGCCAAGGAAGCTGGGGAGGAGGGAGAGAAAGCCAAGAGCCCCAAGCTCAGGCTACCCCGAGTAGGCTTTGGCCAGAGTGAGTGGGCACCCGGAGAAGGGTCCCCCAATTCCGAGGAGGAGGAGGAAGAGCACACTGGGGAGGGAGCCTCCAGCCACCGCAGCCGGGTTAGGGTCCGCCTGCCCCGCGTGGGTCTAACGGCCCCTTCTAAGACCTCCAAGGGACAGGAGGGCGAGGCCGTCTCCAAGTCCCCTGTTGGGGAAAAGTCACCCAAATTTCGTTTCCCTAGGGTGTCCCTGAGCCCCAAGGCGCGAGGCGGGAGTGGGGACCAGGAAGAGGGTGGGTTCAGGGTCCGGCTGCCCAGCGTGGGGTTCTCCGAGAATGGGCCTCCAGGCCCCAGCAGGGTGGAAGGCACTCAGGCTGCTGCTGTCTGATGCCCTGGGTAAATGGAGCCCTCCCTCCTGTCTTCCCACCCTCCCCTTTCCTCTCCCAATCTCCCTCCCCTGTTTTGTGTGTGAGATACTAGCACTAACCCCCCAAAAGGTCCACAGGTGGCCAGCTGACCCCCAACAGGGCTCCAAGACTTGTGCACTGCTCATTGGCAGGAGCGTCTGTGTCATGCCACGCCATGTGAATAAAATAATCCCCACGTCACCGTGCGTGCAGTTTTCTGTGGAGGTCCGGGTGTGTGGGTGGGTGCAGAGAAAGGAGCCCCCCAAAAGGAGTTTCACAGCTTCTGGGGAGGAGAAACAGGCCATCCATGGTCTGAGAAACAGCAAAGTAGTGTTGGGTAGGCCCTGGTGACAAGTGGCCCATCCTAGCTCTTTAGAGGGTTGTGTGTGTGTGTGTGTGGAGGGGGGGTGTTACTAGGATTTGAACTCAGGGCCTGGGTGCTGTCCCTGAATTCTTTTGCTCAAGGCTAATGCTCTACCACTTTGAGCCACAGCACTACTTCCAGTTCCCTGGTAGTTCATTGGGGATAAGAGCCTCACAGAAGCTCAGCCCTGGTGGCTTGCACCTGTCATCCTAGCTACTCAGAAGGCTGAGATCTGAGGATCAAGGTTCAAAGCCAGTCCAGCAGGAAAGTCCATGCATGATACTTATCTCCAATGAATCACCAGGAAACTGGAAGTGGGGCTGTGGCTCAAAGTGGTAGAGCACTAGCTTCCAGGCCCCAAGTGAAAGCCCCAAAACTGACAAAAAGAAAAAAAAAGTGTCACAAACTTTTCCACCTGGTCCTGGCTTTGAACTGTGACCTTTAAATCTCAGCCTCCTGAGTAGCTAGGGTGTCAGGTGTGAGCCACCAGCACCCGGCTTCCCAGAAGCCTTTGCAGAGGACTCTGGTGAGTCCCCCATTAGAGCGTGGCTGTGGACCCCTCTGCCTTAGGCGCCCGCCCCCCACCCCATCCTTTCCTCATCAGGCTTGTTTCACGGCTCTGTTCACCTCAGCCCTACCCAGGAAGTCCTACCCATTCCCTCTTGGCAATCACAGATTCGAGCCTCCACTCTTCACACTAGACTGTCTCTTAGGATGAGGTCCCAAGGTCCTGGAGTACCTACCTGTCCACCTGTTCTTGAGCTATGAGCCATTTGTCCCACTGCCCCTCCCTATTTAGGTTCTAGGCCTCCATCGCCTACCTGTTTATTCCCAAGTATGCCCCCCCACCCAACTTTGGCCTCTTTTATTTGTTTTTTTTTGGGGGGGTCCAGTCGTGGGGCCTGAACTCTGGGCCTGGGTGCTGTCCCTCAGCTCTTCAGCTCAAGGCTAGTGCTCTACCACTTGAGCCACAGCGCCACTTCCGGCTTTTTTCTTTTTGCTTATGTGGTGCTGAGGAATCGAACCCAGGGCCTCAGGCATGCAAGGCAAGCGCTCTACCACTGAGCCACCTTCCCAGCCCTAGCTCTCTCTCTTTTTATGTGTGCTGGTGCTTTTTTTTTTTTTAAACTCAAGGTTAGCCTTCTACTACTTCAGTAGAGTGATAGTATGTTAGCACTTCACCACTTCTGGCACGTGTGTGTGTGTGTGTGTGTGTGTGTGTGTGTGCGCACGCGTGTGCGCACATGTGCCATCCTGAGGCTTAAACTCAGGCCTGGGAGCTGTCCCTGAGCTTTTTCACTCAAGGCTGGTGCTCTATCACTTGAGCTCCAGCTCCACTTGTAACGTTTTTGGTGCCTCAGTGGACATGAGTGTCACCAACTTTCCCGCCTGGGCTCGCTTCAAACCACGATCCTCAGATCTCAGCTTCCTGAGTAGTGAGGATGAAAGGGGTGAGCCACCAGCTCCTGGCTTCCCCACCCTACTGCTGAGCTCCCCTCCATCCCAGACTTGAGGACTCCCTATTCTATACCATTCTCCATTCAGCACCTCTGACCCCGTCCTGTCCTTATGAGGCTGACACTGTATTGGGGAGACTGAGTGATCAAGGTAAGGGGTAAAATGTGGTTTGTGAATGAGGAGAGAAGAGGAGATTGTGGAATTTTGGTTAGGGGTGGCAGATGGCCATGACTGGCAATTTAGGTGATGTAATTGGAAAGACCTCTGCAAGTAGGTGATACTTGAAGGATGTCCTGATGAAGGGGGAAGGGAGCCATGGAGGCATCTGGAGAAGATACTGGACATCTGTCCAGATAAGAGCCAGTGCAAAGGCCCTGAGGTAGGAGCACATGCTGCTGAATTGATCTATAAAGAAGCACTGAGGACTATGGGGTTGCAGCATGAAAAAAGTGAATCAGATCAAGATGTGATAGGGTTAGGGCTTTGGCTTGGACGCTGAACAGAGGAAGGACCTGGACAGGCTGGGGTGCACATGCCGTCTATGGCTGTGTGGTGGGAGGCAGGAAATGAGCAAGAGGACAGAGGTAACGAGACAGGGTCTAAACATGGTGAGTTCTGGGTAGGCCTGGGAGCTTTGAAGCCAACCTGGGTAAGAAAGAAAAGTCCCCAAGATTCTGATCTCCAATGAACCACGCCCAAAAAGCTGGAAGTGGTGGCTCAAGTGGTAGAGCACCAGCCTTAAGTGAAAAAGCTCAGGGACAGCACCCAGGCCCTGAGTACAAGCCTTAGTCCTAGAACATAAAAATAAAACCAGAAGTGAAGGTCACAGGCAGCCAGCCAGCCAGAGGCAAATGACAGATGTAGAAGGACCCCCTAAGAAGAGAGAGCAGGCTATCCCCAGCACCGCACCCACCCAAGAGGACCTTCTCTCTCCCACCCTGCTCTCCCACAGGTGATTGACTTCGGCTCTGCCAGCATTTTCAGCGAGGTGCGCTACGTGAAGGAACCCTACATCCAGTCTCGCTTCTACAGGGCCCCCGAGATTCTGCTGGGCCTGCCCTTCTGTGAGAAGGTGGACGTGTGGTCACTGGGCTGCGTCATGGCTGAGCTGCATCTAGGCTGGCCCCTCTACCCGGGCAACAATGAGTACGACCAAGTGCGTTATATCTGTGAGACCCAGGGCCTGCCCAAGCCACACCTGCTGCACGCTGCCCGCAAGGTCCACCATTTCTTCAAGCGCAATCCCCACCCAGATCCCACCAACCCCTGGCAGCTCAAGTCGTCAGCTGATTACCTGGCGGAGACCAAGGTAGGGAGTCAAGCAAGGGGCATGGGTGTGTGTGTGGGGACAGTCATCCAGTAGACTGCTCCAAGAACAGTCTAAATTCACTGGGTGCTGTGGCTCATGCCTATAATCTCAGCTACATGAGAGGCAGAGATGGGAGAATTGTAGAATCTGAAGGCAGCTCTGGGGGGGGGGAGAAGGGAAAAGACTGAGACCCTACTTTAAAAATAAAGCAGCAGGGTGCTGGTGGCTCACCTGTAATCCTAACTATTCAGGAGGCTGAGATCTGAGGATCACAGTTTGAAGCCAGACAGGGCAGAAAAGTCTGAGAGAGACTCTTATGTTCAATGCATCACTCAGAAAAGCCAGAAGTGGGCTGGGAAGGTGGCTCAGTGGTAGAGCGCTTGCCTTGCATGCATGAGGGCCTGGGTTTGATTCCTCAGCACCACATAAGCAGAAAAAGTCAGAAATGGTGCTGTGGCTCAGGTGGTAGAGCGCTATCCTTGAGCTGAAGAGCTGAGGGACAGCGCCCAGGCCCAGAGTTCAGGCCCCACGACCAACAATAAATAAATAAGTAAGTAAAGAAAGAAAGAGCGAGCCAGAAGTGGTACTGTGGCTCAAGTGGTAGAGTCTTAGCCTTGAACACAAACAGATTCAGGGACCCCCAGACCCTGAGTTCAAGCCCGAGGACTGGCAAAAAAAAAATAATAGATAAAGCAAAAGAGGCTGGAAGCATGACTCAAGTGATAGTATAATCTTAGTACATCTGCCTAGCAAACATGGGATCCTGAGTTTAAAACACCCCTCCCCGCAAAAAAAAAAAAAGAAAAAGAAAAAACAAGACCTGCCAGGTTGGGGCTGGGAAGGTGGCTCAGTGGTAGAGTGCTTGCCTTGCATGCATGAGGCCCTGGGTTCAATTTCTCAGCACCACATAAGCAGAAAGAAAAAAAGCCGGAAGTGGCGCTGTGGCTCAAATGGTAGAGCGCTAGGCTTGAGCTGAAGAGCTGAGGGACAGCGCCCAGGCCCAGAGTTCAGGCCCCACAACCAGACCCAAAAAAAGAAAAAAAGAAAAAACAAAAAAAAAAACCCTGTCAGGTGCCTGTGGCTCATGCTTGTAATTGTAGCTACTCAAGAGGCTGTGATCTGGGCTGGGAAGGTGGCTCAGTGGTAGAGTGCTTGCCTTGCATGCATGAGGCCCTGGGTTTGAATCCCCAGCACCACAGAAGCAGAAAAAGCCGGAAGTGGCACTGTGGCTCAAGTGGTAGAGCGCTTGCCTTGAGCTGAAGAGCTGAGGGACAGCGCCCAGGCGGAGTTCAGGCCCCATGACCCACAAAAAAAAAAAGTTTGATATCTGAGGATTGTGGTTGGAAATCAGCTCAAGCAGCAAAGTCCATGAGACTCTATCTCCAAAGAATCACCAAAAATCTGGAAGGAGAGCTGTGGCTCCAATGATAGAGAGCTAGCCTTGAGTGAAAAAGCTGAGTGCCCAGGTTGTGAATTCAAGCCCTTAGGACTGACACAAAGCACCCCTCCCCACCAAAAAACAAAAACAAACAACAAACAAACAAAACACAGGGTATGAGTGATCAGGTTAGAACCTCCTAGCAGCAAGAGAGCCCTAGATCTAATCACAAGCAGAACTGGATGTCAAGGGGCCCCCATAGGGAAAGTCTGGCATGCTAGGCCTGGACACTGGACACTGGTCAGTGCAGTGTCTCCCTTCACCCCCCCTTCCCTCGCCCCTGTGTCACCAGGTTCGCCCCTTAGAGCGTCGCAAGTACATGCTCAAGTCTTTAGATCAGATGGAGACGGTGAACGGCGGCGGGGCCAGCCGGCTGAGCTTTCAGGACCGCGAAGCGGTGGCTGAGCTGGCCGACCTCAGGAGCATGGTGGAGCTCATCAAGCGCATGCTCACGTGGGAATCCCACGAGCGCATCAGCCCCAGCGCCGCCCTGCGCCACCCCTTCGTTTCCATGCAGCAGCTGCGCAGCGCCCACGAGACCACGCGCTACTACCAGCTGTCCCTGCGCAGCTGCCGCCTGTCCCTGCAGGTGGAGGGCAAGGCCCCCCCGGCCATGGTGGCCACCGCTGAAGATGGGGCCCCTTATTACCGGCTGGCCGAGGAAGAGGAAGCCGTGGGCATGGGTACCGGGCCCTTCTTCTGGGATGAGAAGGCACCGGGCATGCAAAGAGCCATCGATCAGCTGGATGACCTGAGCCTCCAGGAGGCAGGGCAAGGTCTGTGGAGCGAGGCCCGGGCTGACACGGTCTCTGACATGCTCACTCCACTCAAAGCAGCCACCGCTGGCCGCAGGGTCCCTGACTCAGGTCCGGAGCCCATTCTGGCCTTTTATGGCAGCCGTCTGACCGGTCGCCATAAGGTCCGGAAGCCACCCATGGGCTCCAAGTCCAACTCCAACTTCAGCAATCTGATCCGGTTGAGCCAGGCCTCCCCCGAGGACGACGGGCCCTGCCGGGGCAATGGCTGGGAAGAAGGAGAAGGCCGAGGGGCTTCCGTAGAGCTGCCCACCATCCCGCAGAGGGACGGGGACGGGCCCAGTATCAAGGACATGACGATGGATGCTGAGGTAAGCCACATGGGCAGGTGGATGGGGAGGGGTTTCCTCCAGCTGTTTGTTTTTTTTTTTTTTGAAGGGGGAGCAGTCCTAGGGCTTGAACTCAGGGTGCTATCCCTGAGTTTCAGGGCTCAAAGCTATGCTCTACCACTTGGAGCCACAGCTCCACTTCCAATTTTCTGGTGGTTTATTTGAGATCAGTCTCACGGACTTTCCTGCCCGGGCTGGCTTTGAACCGTGATCCTCAGATCTCAGCCTCCTGAGTAGCTAGGATGACAGGCATGAGCCACCAGCACCGGGCTCCTCTGTTTTATCTGCAACATATTAATTTATCTTTGAATATGGCAAGACTTACTCCACACTAACCCACGTCTGGGATGTAAGATTCAGCAGAATGCTAACCTATCCTGCTAGGTGATAGATAATGGCGTCTTGCGTTCAAACTGATACTCCTAAGACAGGACAAAGGCTTGGCCATTCTTGCTGTGGTTCAAGTGGTAGAGCACTAGCCTCGAGCTGCAGCGCTCAGGGACAGCGACCAGGCCCAGAGTTCAAGCCCCACGACTGACAAAAAAATAAAAAGGCTAGGCCATTCTAACCCACCTTCAGACTGTAACTAAAACTCAGGACCTAGTAATATATCTGGAAGAACTGACATGTGCGGGAGCATACACCTGCCATCCAAGCCACTCAGGAGGCAGAGGTAGGAGGATTTTGAGATTAAGGACAGTACAGGCAAACCTAGCCACATCCTGTCTCTATAGCAAAACAAAGCTAGGCCTAGATGGCTCACACCTGGATATGGGTTCAGAAATAAGAAAGGAGCCGGGTGCTGGTGGCTCACACCTACAAACCCTAGCTACTCAGGAGGCTGAGATCTGAGGATCAAGGTTCAACGGCAGCTGGGGCAGGAAAGTCTGTGGGACTCTTATCTCCAATAAACCACCTGAAAACCGGAAGTGGTGCTGTGGCTGAAGTGGTAGAGCGCTCGCCTTGAGCTGAAGAGCTGAGGGACAGCGCCCAGGCCCAGAGTTCAAACCCCGCCACCGCCAAAAAAAAAAAAAAAAAAGACATAAGAAAGTTGCTGGGCACTGATAGAATAGTCCTTGCAGAGGACTATACTCCATCTCTGAGGTCAGAGGTCACCCACACTTGTTGCTGACACCCCCCCCTTCTCCCCTTGCAGAGGTCTGGGCCTGAGCTCTTTGAGCCCAGCAGCTGTCCTGGCGAGTGGCTGAGTGAGCCAGAGTGGACCCTGGAGAGCGTGCGGGGATCGCGGGCTCAGGGGCTCCCACCCCGGCACCCCCACCCGCATCCTCACGGCCCACCCCGCGCTACCACTTTCCTGCAGCACGTCGGCGGGCACCACTGATGGTGTCACCCAGCTTTGCCCATGATCGGGACCGCGCTAGCTGGGCTGGCATTCTTCCTCAACCTGAACTGCTCTACAGAGCCATCCCCAGAGCCTACAAATTATTCTTACACAAAAGATAATTATCCAGAATCCTCCCTTTCCCTTCCCTCCCCCCCAAGTGCATGCCTGCACCCCTCCCTCCCCAAACACTGGAGGCCTCTCAGGGTCTGGCCCATGGCCCCCTCGGCCAGGAAGGCAGGAAGATGGATGCGCGCTACTGGCCCCGAGCTCGCTCCCGGCTCTGCCGTCTCTGCCTATTTCAATAAAAGAACTGTTCTAGCACTCCTTGTCTCTGGATTGGCACTTAGGAATCTGCCTCCAGAACATTCTCTGGGTTTTGGCGCAGAAAGTCCTCAGGCTTAGATCTTGCCTTTGGTGCACGCTGTGGTGTTTAGGCGAGCTGGTTCCCCCTGGGGACAAGGGTGATGATGGTTCAGGTCATGCTGGATCTAGGCGCATGCTCCCTGTGTGTAGCACGTGCCAGCCTATGCTGGCTCCATGCACGCTCAGCCTGTGCCAGCTCATGTGCATTGTCCACTGGGGGCTCAGGACACACCAAAACACACAGGTGCCCCCTGTCAAGGGCTTAGCATATTGTCACACACACCCCCAGAGACCCACACGGGCTGTCCCTTAGCCCTGACACCCCCCTCTAACAGTAGTCGGTCAGACGCAGGCGGTACAGACAATTATTTACTTATTATAATCTTGGGCCCTCTTTGCCCTAGAAAGGAGGGATAGCCTAGGGGTCTGGGCCCAGCATGCACCCCCACTTCTTTGGGGGTTCCCTCCCTCAGCCCTGCTAGGCCCCAGGGGCCACTGCATCAGGCTGGTGGAGGGTAGAGGTAGAGGGGGAAATGCAGGGGAGAGCCTGTGGAGCCACAATGAGGGGTAGACAGAAAGCAGGGATATGGAGAGGGGGACCGGAACCCAGGGTCTGGGTCTCTGGGACTGTGGAGTGGGGAGGCAGGGGTGGGAGGAGCTTGAAGGTCTTGGCCTGTCCATTGGACCAGGTCTCAGAGCAGGCGGCAGGCATTGCCCACGCTGTCGGCTGAGGTGTCCAGGTCGTGGCTGTAGGGGGAGTCCCAGTCCCTCAGGAAGATGGCCTCCAGCTGGCTTCGCAGGCCGCCATGCCCATTCTGGGTCACAAGCAGGGAGGTTCCTGCCGTGTCTGTGAAGTAGCTGCCTGACCAGTTGGAGGTTCCTTTGGATGTGGGGTAAAGAGTTAACGGTTCCGTGGGGTGTCCAGGCCCTGGCACCTGCACACTCCTTCCTTCCAAACCACTCCCCCACACCTAGCCTTGATGCTCCAACACTCACCGATGTAGGCCGCACGTTCGGTCACCATGTATTTGTTGTGATTCACACGGGCATAAGGGATGCGGGCCTGGGCTTCATCGGCAGGAACCACGAAGAGTTTCTGCCAGAGAGAAGAACAGAGGGGAGGGAAGGGAAGAGGAAAGCAAGGAAAGTGAGCTGCAGGTGTGGGTGCAGGGGGTCAGAAAAGCCCCAAGAAAGCTGGGCGCTGGTGGCTCACACCTGTACTCCTAGCTACTCAGGAGGCTGAGATCTGAGGCTCATGGTTCAAAGTCAGCCCAGGTAGAAAAGTCCCTGTGAGACTCTCTTATCTCCAATGAAACACTCAAAGCCTCAGGATTGGAGGGTGGTAAGCAAGTGGTCCCCAACCTGCTGCACCTGTCCTCCATCCTCTGCCTGTGTCTCCTTTTATTAAAAATTTTGTCAATTGTTGGGCTTGAACTCAGGATCTGGGCACTGTCTCTGAGCTATTTTGCTCACTCTACCACTTTGAACCACAGTACCACTTCTGGTTTTATAGTGGTTCACTGGAGGTAAGAGCCTCACGGACTTTCCTGTCCCAGCTGGCTTAGAGCTGCAGTACTCAGATCTCAGCCTCCTTAGTAGCTAGGATGACAGGCGTGAGCCACCAGCACCTGGCCTGGGTCACCATCTTGTCCCAACCCTCTGCCTTTGTCTCTAATCAATCCCCGACCCTCTGCTGGTGTGTCTACTTAGTGCCTCTTAATGGCCAAAGCTAGTCTGGTAGAACTTACCACCTGGATGTCAGAGTGGGTGTGGTTGTCCCTCAGGGCAGCCAGGGAGAGCAGGAAGGACCGCATGGACGGCTCTGAGTGTCCCCAGCAGCTGATGAGCAAGCGAATCTTGACTCCCCGCTCGTAGGCTGCCCGGCGCAGCCCATCGTCAATGGTAGGCCAGAACCTGGGGACGGAGATGAGGAGGGCAGCCTTACCTACAGCCTGCACCCTCAGCTCTGGGGATCCAAGCCTGGCCCTTGTGTTGGCTTCCAAGAGCACCCCTAACTATCTACTGTTCTCACGGCTGGCTCCCAGCCCGTTCCTGTCTCCTTTGAGCCCTCATCCCCTGTTCCAGACCCCCAAAGACTTGTCCCCCATCATCTTGTCTACTCATCTCCACACAGCCTCCTCCAATACCCCCTCCCTAGCCCAATCATCCCTTTGTTTTGTGTGAGATAGGGTCTCTATCTCTCTGTAGCTCAGGCTGTCCTCAAACTCAAAATGCTCCTGCCTTGGTCTCCTGAGTTTTGAGATTATATGTCTCTCTCTTCTGTGTGTGTGTGTGTGTGTGCACGTGCATGCATGCGTACACACACACACACCAGTCCTAGAGCTTGAATTTAGGCACTGGGTGCTGTCCCTGAACTTTTGTTCAAGGCTAGTACTTGAGCCACTGCTCTATTTCCGGCTTTTTGGTGGTTAACTGGAGACCCATCTCATGGGTGTTCTTTCTTCATTCCTGGCCTTTGAACCTTGATCCTCAGATCTCAGCCTCCTGAGTAGCTAGGATGACAGGTGTGATCTATCAGCATCTGGCAACCCTAGTATTCTTAGCTACCTCCTACATCCATTTCCAATCTCGGCTTGTGCTTAGATACTTGCATATTCTCCCTCTCCGTCTCCCTTGCTTGCTCTTTCCCTGTTCCCTCTCCCCCTCTTTCTCTCTCCCTCTCTTGGAACCGAGGGCCTTGCAAATGCTAGGTAAGCACCCTTCCCCTGAGCTGTATGTCCTCGACTCTTTTGTTTTGTTCTTGAGATAGAATCTTGCTATGTAGCTCAAACTGCCCAGAACTCCCCATCTCAGCCTCTTGAGTGCTGGGATTACAGGAATGTACCACCACACCCCTTCGAGACCATGATTTCTGCTGCTCCAAACCCCACATTTCACACCCCTGGTTCAGGCTTCTAGCTGCCCCATTCCTTTTGTTTCCCTCACCCCATCCAGTCCCTGCCTCGGACATCCAGTGGTGTGTCTGTCACTTCCGTCTCCCTGTCTGCATCCATGCTCTCGTCTGCTCTCTGAGCTCCGTCACTCCCTCTCCCCACGCAGGGGCTCCCCATCCCAGCCCTGTCCACACCCAGCTGCACCTGCGAGGGTGGGAGAATTCCATGGTGGGCAGGTAGTTCATGACTGCGATGTAGATGAAGCTCCGTGCACTGTCCACCACGTTGAGGAGGGCCTTCAGGTCTGGGGTGCGGCTACTTGGACACAGGGGTGGGGGTGCACTCTGGGGGTGAGAAGAGAATCACAGAAAATGTCCCGCAGAGGCATGGTTGGGGGTTGAAGGCGTGGCTCAGTTGGTAGACTGCTAGCCAATGAGCGAAAACATCAGGTACCGAGTTCCGAGTCCTGATCTCAGATCAAAAACAAAACAAAACAGAGGCATGATCATAGTGACCCCTGTGTATGGCCAGCTCCCCATGAACCAGGCCTTCTGGGTCTCATTGAGTTCCTCACCTCTGAAGGTGAGGGGACAATCACTATGTCAAAAATAGGCTCAGAGTGGGTAAGAGACTTGCCTACGGTCACACAGCTGATTGATGAAGCCAAGATTTGCACCCAGACTGCCTGGTTCCAGAATTTATGCTTTGAGTGGTTCCTCATTCAGCATCAATATCACTTGGAAACTAGTTAAAAATGCAAACTGTGCTGGGTACAGGTGGCTCATGCCTGTAATCCTAGCTACTCAGGAGGCTGAGATCTGAGGGTCATGGTTCTATTCCAGCCTGGGCAGGAAAATATGTGAGACTCTTAACTCCAATAACCAGCAAAAAGCTAGAAGTAGAAGTGGTAGAATGTCAACCTGGAGCAAATAAGCTAAGGAAGCAGGCATGGTAGTATATGCCTGTAATCCCAAAACTTGGGAGGCTAGCCGGGCGCTGGTGGCTCACGCCTGTAATCCTAGCTACTTGGGAGGCTAGCCGGGTGCTGGTGGCTCACGCCTGTAATCCTAGCTACTCAGGAGGCTGAGATCTGAGGATCGCGGTTCAAAGCCAGCCAGGGCAGGAGAGACCTTGAGACTCCTATCTCCAATAAACCACCAGAAAACCGGAAGTGGCGCTGTAGTTCAAGTGGTAGAGTGCTCGCCTTGAGCTGAAGAGCTGAGGGACAGCGCCCAAGCCCAGAGTTCAAGCCCCACGACCGACAAAAAAAACAAAAAATGAAACTTGGGAGGCTGATGCAGGAGGACACTGAGTTTGAAGCCAGCCTGGGTTATATATCAAAACCCAGTCTCAAAAAAAAAAAAAAAAAAAGAACAAAAAGAAGTAGCTGGGCACCAGTGGCTCATGCCTATAATCCTAGCTACTCAGGAGGCTTAGACCTAAGGATCGAAGTTCGAAGCCAGCCCGGGGCAGGAAAGTCCATGAGATTCTTATCTCCAATTAACCACCAGAAAACTGGAAGTGGTGCTGTAGCTCAAGTGGTAGAGTGCTAGCCTTAAAGTGAAGAGCTGAGGGACAGCGTTCAGGCCTAGAGTTCAAGCCCCTACCCCCAGCCCCCCAAAAGTAGTCAGTACTGCCTGATAGAACTTTCTGGAATGACAAAAAGGTTTTCTCTGCACTCCCCAATATAGCAGCCACTTGTCGCATGCAGATTGTCACCATATTTAATTTTAATTAATA